AAGGGGGTACGAGCAGGAGATACTTTTCCTTCTCCACTTCTGTGTCATAGCCTAACAGAGAAAGCTTGGTCCTGTGACGTTTTATTAAGTTTAACTAAGGATTTATGAACTTGGAGAAATGGTGCTCGCCCATACAGAGAGCAGCGTCACGGAACTGCAGGGAGGGCTGGCTTTGGGGTTCTCCCCTTTTTTAAAAATAGATTTACAAAAAAAAAATATTATGGTGGATTTATTTAGGGCTTGGGAATGCAAGCGTCTCATCTGAATTTACTGAGATATGGCATAGCAATGAGGAGTATTCTATACATGTTCTCTCACCCAGCTCTGTCAAAGCAACCTGACCCCCAATTGCAGCTTGAGCTAACATTCTAGCACAGCAGGTCCCATACCGCCTGGCCAATGCCCCTCATTACCGACATGGAGTACCCTCTGCTCTTCCATTCCTGAGGGCAGCAGTGTCCGCCGGCACTGACAAGCCGCAGGGTGCTTTTGTGATGTGGAGACCTCATTTTATTCCAGACCCTGCACTGTAATCCACGTTTGAATCCAAAGGAGACAGGTTGTTTGTCTATCTTCTACTTATGCTTCAATAATTGCCATAATATTAGAACACCTTATGGTTTCTAGCAAACAGCTTCTACCATCCCCGCGAGTAGGGCTTTGGAGGCCGGAGTGCCATTATCCACAGCATTGCTCTCTTCATCCAAGCCGTTCCCTATCCATGAGTTTCAGCAACCAAAGACAGCAGTGATCAGGCAAGACGGAACACTACCTGCCCAGAACCCTTAACACCGTGAGCCAGTGTACCCTATGGCCACTTATGGACTAAGCCCTGGCTGGTGTACACCGGCATAGAGCCATTGACTTCAGTACAGCTTTTCCAACGTACACCATCTGATAATCTGGCCCATATCTACGTAAGGCACTTGTGGCATGCCTTGCCAACAAGCACTTTAATGAGTTTATCCTCACAACATCCCCAAGAGGTAGCAAAGTACTATCACCCCATTTTATAGATGGGGAACCAAGACGGGTCAGGAAACTGAACCCATATTTCCACTGTCCCAACCACTGGCCCATCCTTCCTCTGTAGGACAGATCTCTCTCTAAAGAAACCCAGATGCATCTTTCAGGCTGTAACTGAATCTTGGGTAAATTATTATTCTGCATGGCAGCATAACCTGCAAATGTTAGGTAGCTGAATTATTGCTCTTGGATATTAATGTAAAACTAGTGCCTTACAAAAAAAACCTCTCTCTCCAATACTGCTTTATTTCCAGGTGACATTTCACAGTGCATTTAGTCTAGTACCAGCTGCATGGATTAGTCTAGAGCTCTGAAATCCTGCCCCAGCTGTCAGATGTTACAGAAGAATAGTACCGTCTTCCAAAAATGCTGACAATTCTACCACCAGGATTAGCAAATATTGTATTTACCCAGACATTTAAGTAATGATATTTGTGCTTTCGGAATGTATAGTCTATTTCTATTGGTAGGCCTATTGTCTTCTGTACATAACATCCTGGGGAGGGTTGCAAACTTATCAGGCCATCAGAAACCACACTGCTTAAATTCAAGCCAAGAATCCTATGTGCTCCAGTAAAAGGATAAGTTTTATACATACTTCACAAAGGCTAATCTAATTTGGTAGCCAAATCACATGGCATCTCCATGAGTACTTGAAAAAAGCACCCAACTAGAACATAAGCTTTGGAGCTACCCTAGGGTGACCAGATGTCCCGATTTTTGGGTCTTTTTCTTATATAGGCTCCTATTATCCCCCACCCCCTGTCCCGATTTTTCACATTTGCTGTCTGGTCACCCTACCCTGTGTAGTTCAAAGTGCATCCTTTTGTCATTTCTGAAACACTTGAAATCCAAAGCTGCCTTTAAAAAAAACAACAACAACACGAGAAGTATTGGGCCCGATTCTGTCCCCTGTTAAGTCAACAAGAGTTTTGCCACTGACAACATTTTGCTATATGGCCCGGAATATTCTATGGTATTTTAATTTTCCCTGGCTTGTAAGTGGTTTAATCTGTTCTGACTGCTCTGTGGGACTCTGGCTAGAGATGTTGCTTGGAACTTTTATTTCCCCTGATGCTGAATGGCATGTTTTTAATGCAGTATTTGATCCTAGAATTTGCAAGGAGAAGAGCTTTAAAAAAAAAAAATCTCTTCCTCGCTAGTCTAAAATGCAGGCCTGTTACAGGCATCTGTGATTTATTCACACAGAGTTCCTATGTGTCACTGCAATCAGTGGGAACGGCTGCAAATTGTTCTAGGGAACATGGACATATTGCTGGAGAGACTGTATTGTTTTATGGTGGTTAAAAGATAAGACGGGACATCCGGACACCTAGGTTCTATGCCTGATTCTGTCACTTGCCTTTTGACCTTGACCAACTTATCTCTGAGCCTCCAAGGTCCCCATCTGTAAAATGTTTATGTATTTACCTCAAATACCTTTGCGGTCCTCTCTTTGCAGCCCTTCACTCATACCCTCTTCTCTAACACATCAACACACAAAGGGACTCTTGCGGTCCCTTCTAACCCTACAGTTCTAAACATAAGCTACTTGTCTTCTCTTTCAAGGCCCTATCATCTCTCATTCAGTATCAAAGGGTCGACTCCCACCTCTGACTGAAAATGTAACAAGTGGGTGATGGAAGGCTAAACAAGCCCCTTCATGCTTTTTTTCCATGTTGCCCCTCATGCTTCGGAGGAGCTCCCCTTTAACATCCAGAAAGTCACTTCATTGTACTCCTTCAAATCCCTTGGCCATCATGCCTCCAGAAACACTAGCTAATAACTAGGCAGCCGATGTGCTGGTAACTCAGCCTATCATGCTGACTTAAATTGCCTCATTGTTTCTTTTAACTCCCCCATATTGCTGTCTGTATCCTCCATCATCTCTTGTCTTCTGTTTAGATTGTAAGCTCTTTGGGGCAGGGACCATCTCTGTTCTGTGTTTGTACAGAGCCTAGCACAGTAAGATCCTGGTCCATGACTTAGACTCCGAGGCGCTATGATAATACAAACAACAACAACTAGTTATTATGGTTGTCTTCATAGGCACCAACTCTGTGGGTGGTTTGGGGCTGGAGGAAGGGGTGGAGTGGGGGCAGGGTCTGGTGTGGAGTGGGGGTTGAGCACCTCCCAGCAACTTAGAAAGATGGCGCCTCTGGTTGTCCTCTCAATGGTACACAGCATCATTGGTTCTCCATCTCCTTCATTCTGCATACCACGTCAGTAGAGAAATGTTCCCATCTGGACCACTTCTTTTCCAACCTTCCAATGCACGGCTCTCCACTAGGGGCGCCTGGTAGTCCATAGAACACAGTTTTAGAACTGCTGCATGAATGTCCCAATTCTGCCACATTTATGCATGCTGAGTAGCACGTTCCAGTGCCCAGAGTTCCACTGAGAAACAGTGACTCCTCACACAGTATGGCGCTACCCTCGAGGAGTAAAGGTGTCAGAATCAGGCCCTGAAAGAACGACAGGTTCTCTGATGCCTCTACTTAGACTGACAAAAGGATCTGTGTTTCTTAGTTCATCTTATCAATGTATGGTCCTCCCTTGAAGGCATGCGGACTTTGACATCATATGTGGTTGCCATGGAGATGACTGAATGGCATCCCAGTGGGACTCAAATGGCATGATAAGCTATACAAGGGTTGCCAAGGTGTAAGAAAGAGACAGACCCTTCATCTATTCCCCGAGTGCAGGTAAGACCCAGCCAAGATAGGGGTCACACACTGCTGGAGTTACAATGATAATACATAGCTCTTATACGGTGCTTTTCATCCATAGATCTCAAAGCACTTTACCAAGGAGGTCCGTCCCATTATCCCCATTGTGCAGGTCGGGAAACTGAGGAACGCAGCGGGGCAGTGACTTGCCCAAGTTCACTCAGTCACTGGCAGAGCCAGGAATAAAAGGTCTTCTTCAGTTCCAGTCCAATGCCCAATTTTTTAAGTCACCCTGCATCAGAGCAGCAGTAGATGATGTGCTAAGAAACCTCCTGTCTCCACACAGTTAGCAGAGAGAAAGAAATTAACATATACATATAAAACCAGCACACTCTCTCAGAGTTTGCCACCAGCCATCAGCTGGTCTGCAAAGGAGGATCCAGCTACACTGAAAGTCTTTATTAGCATCAGATAACTAAGACCAACACAGACTGGAAGGCTGCAACAGACGCATATAATATTATTGGATTATGGCATGTTTGAGAAGTTATTTAGCCTTGTAGCCTATTTACATAAGGTTCACTCCATCTTTTGTTTGGACACATTCCTAGCAAAGCTTTTCAGTTGTCATCCCCACCTCCACCAAGTATGCATAAAGCAACTCCAAGGTGAAACCCATTCTCTCCCCAGACAAATGAGAGACATGCGGAGAACAAAAAAGGAGCAAGAGGCATAGGAAAAATGAGGAGAAGGGCGGGGTGAGGAAAGATGAGGTTATGGTCAACGGGCTGGAGTGGGACTCTCAAAATCAGGATTCTGTTCCTTGCTCTACTACAGGCTCCCTATGTGGCCTGGGGCAAGTATTGCTGGATGCCTCAGTTTCCCTCTCTGTACAATGGAATACTTCTCTACCTTACAGAGGTGTGGTGAGGATGGGCACACAACTACCCTGATAGGGCGCAATGCCCTTTCTTGAACACAGCTGGTGTACTTTAACTCTTCGATGGGCAGAGGATGCAAAATTGAAAACTAGATACAGATTTTTAAGTTCAGGGGATGTTTGACCTGTCCCGTTATAGAGACAGGGACCATTTCAGAAATTAAATACTAATCTGGGATTTGATTTCAAACACGCGACAGTATAGGGAACATTTGGATCAAGGATTCTCGTAGGGTAGCACCTCTACTTAAAATTTTAAGGCCGAGCATTCTATGACATGGGCATCAACATCATCGTAATTACTCATACCTCTTAGCCAGTTTGTCCATCCCTAGCCTTCAGTGGCAGCTGTGAAATGGCCTTACCTGAGAAGTATCATGATTGAATATGACAGTGTTCAGGTCTCCACAGTTATAATGCTTGATGAGATCTTCAGTAGTGTATGGGGCCTGCAAGCTGCCGGCTCGTAGACTTTCATGTTGTAGCAAGGTTTGGTTCAAAGCAAACAGCACCTGCACAAACACACACAATAGATATATATTGGTGGACTGAGGTCACAAGAGCATGAATGATCCGCAGAATGCAGGAGCACTGCAGAGGAACCCTTATCCGCCCCAGATGAGGCTTGCGTTTCTTGCTGCTCTTTGTTGACCCCTTCTGGCCAACCAAGGGAGTGGCTCAGGAAGGAGTTACATTTATCCCTTCCCAAACGGAAGGAGAGTCACATGGATGCAGAGCTTAGAATAGAAAAGAAAACTGGGAAGGGTTTGGGATATGTCACCCTCCTCATCAAGGTCATAAAATATAGGCCTGCCTACAGGCATGATTTCAGTGGGGCTGCGGGGCCCGTGAAAAATCAAGGTGAGCCAGAGAGTTTTAGACTGCATCTGCCATTGACTTTACTGCAAAAGTGACGGCCTGAAAATAAGGGAAGTTCCATCATCTCTGCCAAGGAATACGACTGAGCTGGGAGGAGCTGCGCCTTCCCCATCAGCTGTTTAAAATCCAAAGCCCAAGCTAAATGGGAAACTTCTCGGTAGATGCAGTTCAGAAGCTTCCCAACATCTTTAGTAGTAAAACGTTGGCGTATTCAGGGGCATCTCTGCTGTCGTTCAATAAGTAACATGCAGGAACCTTCAGCATCCCTGGGGAACCGGCACTTGTGAAATAGGCAAAATACACGATCGCGCTATCCCCCTCCACCCCCGCCACTTTTCAGCTTCCCCCTCTGGCAAAATAAATGGTCGTGTCAAATTGTTACACTGTCCCAGAGGGCTAATTGAGCTTTCTCATCCCTGATCTGGAAATACAACAGGAATGTATTAGCAGAGACATCTCAGCAACCAGGAGCATTCATTGCTTTTGATCTTTAAATGCACAAGTATCCAAGCTGCCACGAAATAAAACACTTCCTTAACAAGAAAGGTAATTGTATACTTTTCTGTCTCTCATGAAAGGCAGTCAAGTTTAAATGAGTGATCATGTACCTATGCTCATTAGTGATAGACTTGGGGGTGATTTATACTGATTACAGAACCGCTGAGCATAAGCTCAGTTTTCAAAGATCCTCACAGGGGAGCCTGTTCTAGAGAAGGTCTATGAATGGTTGGAAGGACAATAACATTTGAGTAGGTGGGACTAATAGAACCTTTATTATTTATTTGTATTATCATAGTTCTTAGGCACCCCAGTCATGGCTCAGGACCCTAATCTAGGGTGATTTTACAGGAGGGTTTCCTAGAAATAATTTGGCTTTATAACCCTGGTGGTTATTTTATTAAAAGTCAAAGACCCTTCAGTCCTGTGTTTCCCTGCAGTTTCATCTCTTCTCATTTATAGCACCAAGAGTATTCTTAATGGCACACACCACCACTTAGGTCAGTTCGCTGGGATTTTCTCCCTGTTTTTCTTTTGTTACCAGGACATTGTTTTTATCAGCTCATAGAATCATAGAATATCAGGGTTGGAAGGGACCTCGGGAGGTCATCTAGTCCAACCCCCAGCTCAAAGCAGGACCAATCCCCAACTAAATCATCCCAGCCAGCGCTTTGTCAAGCCTGACCTTAAAAACCTCTAAGGAAGGAGATTCCACCACCTCCCTAGGTAATCCATTCCAGTGCTTCACCACCCTCCTAATGAAAAGGTTTTTCCTAATATCCAACCTAAACCTCCCCCACTGCAACTTGAGACCATTACTCCTTGTTCTGTCATCTGCTACTACTGAGAACAGTCTAGATCCACCCTCTTTGGAACCCCCTTTCAGGTAGTTGAAAGCAGCTATCAAATCCCCCCTCATTCTTCTCTTCTGCAGACTAAACAATCCCAGTTCCCTCAGCCCCTCCTCATAAGTCATGTGTTCCAGCACCCTAATCATTTTTGTTGCCCTCCGCTGGACTCTTTCCAATTTTTCCACATCCTTCTTGTAGTGTGGGGCCCAAAACTGGACACAGTACTCCAGAGGAGGCCTCACCAATGTTGAATAGAGGGGAATGATCACGTCCCTCGATCTGTTGGCAAAGCCCCTACGTATACAGCCCAAAATGCCGTTAGCCTTCTTGGCAACAAGGGCACACTGTTGACTCATATCCAACTTCTCATCCACTGTAACCCCTAGGTCCTTTTCTGCAGAACTGCTACCTAGCCATTCGGTCCCTAGTCTGTAGCTGTGCAAGCATGAAATTTCTGTCCTTAGATATTCTATAGTAGTTTGAGTCATTTAAGATTTTTACTATATTTGACTCTATGCTCTTTTTCACCGAGTGTCACTTCCGCACCAGCACGACCTACTCTGTCATTCTTATATATTTTATACCCTGATATCACCATGTCCCTTTGATTATCATCATTCCATCAAGTTTCTGTGTTGCCTATTATATCAATATCCTCCTTCACTATCTGGCACTCAAGTTCACCCATCTTAGTATTTAGACTTTAACATTTGTATACAAGGACTTACAAAATGTGTCCAGGTTTAGCTGTCTGCCTTCAAGTGATGTCATTGAAGGAGACTTTTTTGGTTTGACAGTTTCTCTTCAGTTCCTCCCTGTACTTTATCAACTTCTATCCTCTCCGTTTTACTAGGGGATAGAATATCCCCTTTAATAAATCATCCCCTAAGGGATGTCTCTGGCCAAGCCGTGTGCTCCTCCACCCCAGTTCAGTTTTCCTCCAATCCTTAGTTTAAGAACTCCTCTATGACCTTTCTGGTTCCATTTTGATGTAGGTGGAGCCCATCCTTCCTGTACAGAACGGGTGATGGGTATAATAGAGCATGCGGCCCACCTATCCTCCCCCCCACCGCTGCTCACCGCGTGTCCCCCTCCTCTTCTCCCTCTGCCCACCGCTGCTCACCACATGCATCCTGCAATGGCTGCTCCTGGTGCCAGCTATGGGGCTGGAGAACATGGCGGTGCCAGGCCTTGCCCAAAGCTGTTCAGGAAATGCATTTCTGAGTGATGGGGCTCTGGGGCAGCAGGTTCCCTGTGCTGGCCAGCCAGGGAGATGCCCTGGTAGCGCATTGGAGGGCATTCGGGAAGTCACAGCTCTGGTGGAGCTGGAGTGAAACCTGCCAGCTTTCCCTCAACCCAGACTCACAGCAGGGCTCAGCAGCTCCACTTTCTCCACCACTAGGTCCAAATTTGAGGTCTAAGCCAGGCTCCTGCTCCCAGACACAGGCACCAGCCAATGGCCCTGGCTTGCAGAGCTGGGCAACAAGCCCCCCTCCCCAGTGCCCAGGAGCTCAGAAATCCAGCCTCAGTGCCCAGACCTAGACTGCTCAGTTGGAAAGCGAAACCCCCTGATGTTACCAGAACAAGAAGAGAGGAGGGACGCACATGGTGAGGAGGCTGGAGGAGAGGAGGGATGCATGCAGTGAGTGGCAGCGGGGCGGGGGGTGAGTGTGGGCAGAGTGTGGGCAGGGCCATGGGCGGAAGAGGCGGGATGGGGAGCTAGCCTACCCCAGAAGAAGCTTCACCCACCACCCATGCTATATAGGTTCATCCTTTTCCAAAAGGTTCCCCAGTTCCTAATAAACCTCAATCCCTCCTCCGAACACCATCATCTCAGCCATGCGCTGAGACCCTGAAGTTCTGCCTGTCTAACTGGCCCTGCATATGGAACTGGAAGCATTTCAAAGAATGCTACCATGGAGGTCCTGGACTTCAATCTCTTACCTAGCAGCCTAAATTTGGCCTCCAGTACCTCTCTCCTACCATACTCTACGTCACTGGTATCTATTCATGCCACAACTACCAGCTCCTCTCCAGCACTGCCCAAAAGTCTATCTACATGTCTTGAGAAGTCTGAAACTTTTGCAACTGGCAGACGATTCACCATGAGGTTCTCCTGATCATCACACATCCAGTATTTCTAATAATTGAATCCCCCATTACTATTATTTGTCTCTTCCTAATAACAGGGTTCCCTTCCCCTGGAGCGGTATCCTGAGTGCGAGAGGACACCATGGCATTATTTAGAAGGAGGATCCAAACTATGGGATCATTTCCCTCCACTCCAGCTTGATGTTCTCCTTCCCCGAGACTTTCATCCTCATCAACAGCACAGAGACTGTTAGATGAGACTTTCCAGGACAGAGTAGAGCAGTCCCACCCCCAGACTATGCACCTCTCTCTCTTTGCTCCTCCAGTTCAGCCACTCTGGTCTCAAGAACCCGTACTCTGTCTGAGGGCCATGAGTTGCCATCGCTAAATGCACACATATGCCACTTGTCCACAAGGCAGACAAGCTACATTCAGTGCAATAAACTGAATAACGTCCACTCTGCTGCTGGACTTCGGCCTGCATTATTTTGACTCTTGCAGGATTTTTGTTTGTGTTCTTTCTGGGGTGGGGATAGGGTTATTGGGAGAATTTTAGAGAATATTTATTAGGTGTATCTGGCTCTCACGCTCCCTCTCTAAACTCCCCTGCCAAACTCCTCTGGTTGCTAGCTCTTCTGGTCGCTTAGGAACTGGTTTTTAAACCCCTGTTCTCCCAGAGTTAGCCCTGCTCCCTGCTCAAGGAACCCTAAAGGGATGAGCGATCAAAGGATGGCAGGCTGCAGCCTTGTTAGGAAGCTCTCAGCCTTTCCTAACAGACCCTAGGCTCAGCACACAGCCCCCCAAGCACACCATCAATTTCAGGTCAGTTTCATTTTCTGGTTCTCCTGAAATCGCCCAGAAACTAAAGAAGGGTGTTTGGACCTCATCCTGCAAATCCTGACCCACTCCCTCAAATAAACCCATTGATTTGAAAGGAAGTACTCATTTATTATTACTCATAGGATTGCAGGATTGGGTTTATTGACCCAGCTTTACTGACATGCTTAAAACATGGAAGTCCATCCCAGTGAACACAACAGGTGCACTCACATGCTTAAAACCAAACATGTGTAAATGCTGACACGACTGAGTTCTTTATTTGTTTAAAAAACTGTTGCCAGTGAGCGCGTGCTTTAATTAATGGAAACATTCTTTTGGTCTTAGATTTTGTAAAACCGTCTCTCTACACAACG